GGACTAAAACTTTTCTTGGTTTGTTGCAAAGGACCCAAAACTACACCAGACCAAAAAAATTTTATGGCATTCCCATTTGGTAAATGTATACAGAAATTTGTTTTACTATAAGGGGCCAAATCTGGAAATTCCTGCCTGAAAACTGAGAAAAGCGACTCAACCACCCTTTTTAAAACTCCTGAAAAAATCTCTCACTTAAACACACCCCTTTATCCTAACCAAAGAAAACCCCCCAATTCTCTTTTTTTTTATCATGAAATATCCCGAACAAATTTGACTTACTCCGTTATCGTAATTCCCCCATAATTTCCTACTAATGCAAAATTCTGCCTTCAAAAACTCGCGGGAAAAGACTGGTAGGGTGATTGAGAGAATGGGGTGTGTTGTGTGTGTGATCGGGGTGTGCAGTGAAAAAAAAAACTGGACCCAGTGGTCTTTTGGGGGCGCCATTTTAGTAACCCGTTCCCTCCCCATGGAAGAAGTTCCCCACTCCTGGCAAAATGGGACACTTCTGTTCCCCTGATAGTTCTAGTAAGATGGAAGTGCCAGCGAAGATGAGTTTCAAGGTTTTGGCGAGGTTGTGACTGAAATTAATGACCATAATACCAGTAATAGTGAGGAAAACCCAGACGACCCTCAGCCTTCCACCTCTGCTGCTGGGCCGTCTTGTTCACGTTCAGTTGTATGAGAATCAAAGAGGAGACTCCTATTTTCCCAAATCCTGGACTCAGATGTGAGCATTGGTGATGATAGTGAATATGAACTACAAGCTCTTGAAAACAGTTCCAGTAGTGATAGTGAAGTGGAATATTCTCCAGTGAAACGTCAGTATATACAACGATATATGCGCTCTGGTAGTTTGCCATATGCTATTCCAAGGGGAAGGAGTACATCTTGGAGTACATTCTGTGGCTGTACAACAGGAACAGACAGTGAAAATGAAGATGATAGTATTGCAATTGGGATGGAAAATGTGCATGGTGGTGGAAGTGGTGGTGCCGGCCGTGAGGCACCAGCAGTGGGCCATGCTGCCACCCACACTACCACCCATGTCGCTGCCTCAGCTGATCTACAACAAAGGCCACCATCCCCCACCCACCCACCACACCAGCCTCCACAACCACAACCTCCACAACCACCAGTCAATGTCCAGTACCCACCAGCAGACTGCACCTGGGATTGGCAGGAAGCTGCCGATTTTGTTCCAAATCCCCACCAGTTTGATGAAAGCCAAAGTGGAATACGGCCATGTTGTACACTGGGGAGCAATGCCAGTGAACTGGAATGTTTCGAGTTATTCTTTGACGAACCCCTGATGGAAATTATTGTCAAGGAAAGCAACAGATACTACGAGTACACCATGGCAAACAATACTTTCACCAAAATCACGTCTACACAAGTGGAAGGAGACAACTGTGGCTGAGATGTATCTTTTCTTTGCCACAATAATGCTTATGCCACATGTGTATAAGCACACTGTGAAATCATACTGGTCAACAGACCGCCTGATTGCAACCCCAGGTTTCAGTGATATGATGGGAGTGAATCGATTTGTGCTACTACAGTGGACCCTCACCTAATGATATTAATTGGTACCCGAGAACGAATATCGTTAGGCGAGTTTTTTAGCTTTAGGCGAGGCAAAATATTAGTGTTAAAATGTATCATTAGGCGAATTTAACGTTATGCGATGCGTTCGTTAGGCGAGGGTCCACTATATTATGTATGCTTCACTTCTCAGACAAAACCAGGTCTGACAGAAACGACAGGTTATATAAGATTAGGAATGTGTTTGTGTATCTGAATGAGAAATTTAATATGTATTTTTATCCTTTAAGGAAGCTTGTAATTGATGAGTCTTTGATTCTGTTCAAAGGAAGACTCTTTCAAGCAGTTCATACCAAGCAAGAGGAAACGCTTTGGTATAAAGTTGTTTGTGCTTTGTGATTGCTACAGTGGTCTTGTATTGGATATTATTGTGTACACTGAAAGTTATACATTGCAAAATACCAGGAAGTTATTGTGCATCTCTGGTGATGTGGTTAGAACAATGATAGAACCATATCCTGGTAAGGGGCACATATTATATACTGATAACTGGTACACAAGCCCCTCACTCAGTGATTTTTTGCGAGTGAACATGACAGATGTGTGTGGCCGTGCGTGCAAATTGTAAACATAGCCCAAGTTGACGTGGCATTGTAGAGGTGAGGTGCAGGCGTTTGCTGCCAATGACATCATGGCATTTCAGTGGCATGACAAATGAGATGTCACTCTGTTGTCATCATTTCACCCTAATGAAATGACAAACACTGGCAGGCAGCATAGAGACAGCAGTGAATCCATTCTAAAACCTGCAGCTGTGATTGATTACTCCCTCATTATGCGCTCAGTGGACAAATGTGACATGCAGATTGGGTTTGCTGATTGTGTTCGCAAGAGTTATAAGTGGTACATAAAACTCTTTCCAACTTCTGGACATTTCCATGCTCAATGCTTATAATATGTATAAGATGAGGACCAGAAACAAACCACCATATGGCGAATTCTGTTTGTTTGTCATCAGACAAATAGTATTCAAGTACCAAGGAGCAACACCTGCAATAGAAAACCGCCCACTAAATTATCAACAACTACCTTCTCATCTGAAGCATGGTGATCACTTCCTGATACAACTGCCTGCTACTGCTTTCAAGAAAAAGGCTCAGAAGAGGTGTTACGTCTGTGCACATACAAAAAACAAATGCCCACAACAACGCAGAGACACTCGTTTTATGTGTGAGGAGTGTAAATCACCACTGTGCATGACACCATGTTTCAAAGAGTTCCACAGGCTGCAAGAACTTCTAGAAACTTTCCCCTGTGACTGTATAGTGATAAAAACATAGAAAAATAGTAATAAAAACATTTCATATCGTTGTGTGGTGTAAACAACAATTATAAACAATATAAGGACAACAGTGTTTGTGCAGTTATTGTGTAGTAAATAAAGAGAAAAAACTTACAAAATAGTGCTTATATTGGTCTCGCAGGCCATAAAAGTTATTTGAAAAAAAAAAAATAAAATAGAAAATAATACCAAAAAACTAAATAAACTAAAACCGGGTGACCGGCAGTCGGCGATGTTACCGTATGCCGGTCATTTTCTCTCAACTTCACACCTCTATATCTCGGTAAGTATTGTTGGTAAAAATTTTTTGTTTAGCCTATAAGATTTAAAAAAAACTATCTTTTCACAAGAAAAAAATTTTTTTTTTTTTTTTGAAATTTTGGCGACCTTGAGAACAAGTCTGGGAGAGGGCCTGTCGACCCTGAAAGGGTTAAATGATTTGACCACCTAACTATTTTAAACCTAATTATGTATGTACCTAATTGAGATTGTTCCTAATTAAGTGCCTATTAATATGTTTAAATGTATTGCTCAAATATAACCTATATCAAAATAGCGTAAGAATTAGTATTAGTCTGCCTGAAGTGCCTAGGCATGATAGTGGCCATCTTTGTAATTAAAATCTTATAACATGTAAACCACACATTGTAAGCTTTACAGGGAAATAAATATTTTTATTTGTATTTGTATGGTATGGAATAAAACTTTTCACAAATAAATGTTGAGGTGGTTTGGAAATGGAGAGAGGATGGAAACAAATAGGATGACTTCAAGAGTGTTTAACCCTTAAACTGTCTAAACATAGATTGACGCCCACGTGCGGGGGGGGGGGCTCCGAACGTAGATCTACGATTTTTTTTTATATGCTTTCAAATGGGGAAAATAAAGGTCAGAGTGCTATGCAAGTGAACGTAGATCAATGTTTGAACCGTTTAAGGGTTAAATCTGTAGTGGAGAGAAGGCAGGGTAAGGGTTGGCCTAGGAAAGGTTAGAGGGAGGAGGTAAAGAAGGTTTTGTGTGCGAGGGGCTTGGACTTCCAACAAGCATGCATGAGCGTGTTAGGAGCAAATAGAGACAAATGGTTTTTAGGACTTGTCGTGCTGTTGTAGTGCGAGCAAGGTAACATTCATGTAGGGATTCAGGGAAACTGGCAGGCTGGACTTGAGTCCTGGAGATGAGAAGTACAGTGTCTGCACTCTGAAGGAGGGGTGTTAATGTTGCAGTTTTATAATTGCAGTGTAAGTGCATCTCTGGCAAGACACTGATGGAAGTTTTTCTTTTTTGGGCCACCCTTCCTTGGTGGGAAGTGGCCGATGTGTTAATAAAAAAAAAATGTAAAAATTGAGTATTTGGGGAAAAAAAGTAAAAATACAAGAAAACTCGAAAATACCAAACTGTTACTGAAAACTTAATTAAACTTTGTTCTCATTTATCTTCTAGCATTATATATGCTGTAGTAGGAAAATGTTAACCTGTTAATTAAACCGTCATCCCAATGATGTCTTCCTCTTACCATTGCTACACTTGCCTACTGCAGTGTGGTAACTTTTCCAAATTTCTACAATACTGTGTACAACAGTAATGTATGCTACTGGAGCCTATACAGGGCTAACTCTCACTTTCTTTTGACTTACTTTTGGCATAAAGTTTAGAAAAAACAATGAAACACATGTTTTGTAATGAAAAACAGATACACAGGAATTATTTGTGATTTTTCTTTTAGACCAGTAGCATTGTATGATGTTTATAAGTTTAGTGCTTCTTTTTGATTATAATAATTTTAGACCAATAACAATTGTACTCCTGTCTCTTGATGTAATCACAGAAAATTTCTGGCTCGACAGACCATGATTTAGGGTTTGTAGGATATACAGTACATGGGAGTCTGTAAATTTAGCAGCAAGTAATAGATCCACAACAAGATTAGTGTTTGAAATTACTGTAGATGAATTGTTATACCTGTAAGTATCTGCCAGCAGCCATATCTAGTGAACCCTTCATGAAGAGGGACCCCATGGCTGCCCTTGTGTATTGCATCTGTGATGAACTTTGTGTAATATGCTGTTGTTTAAGAAATACTAATAGTCTTTACCTCTTTTATTTTGTGTAGGGATGATGCTGAGCTCAGCCTTCTGGGGTAATCTCTCAGACAAGTATGGGAGGAAGAAATCTCTAAGACTAGCAGCTGTGATGTTAGCTTACTGGGGATTGCTCTCTGCATTTGCCCCAACATACAACTGGATAGTTTTGTTGAGAGGACTAGTAGGGTTTGCCATTGGCTGTGTTCCTCAGTCGTGAGTATACAATAAAACAATCTTTACTGCATGAATGTTTTTTACTGCTTTGCTTGTCAACACTTGCTTTTATTCATAACAAAGTTGTCTAGTCACTTATGATGTTCATATTTTCTTTTTGCTGTAACAGTAGCAGTAATTTTTGTTCAGTCTGTCTTTCATGTATTTTTCTTTTAATTTTCAATGGACCTGTATTATTCTCATAGTACAGAATAGAACAATTTGTTTGCAGTGTAACCCTGTATGGCAGAATTCTTGCCTGCTCATCAGCGTGGGAAGTGTGTTGTGTTGCTTGATGTGAGTGCTTATTGATGTTATTCTTATAGTGCTCTATAGTCTATTATTTTATGTACTTTTCAGTACTGTACAGGTGACCTCCAGCACTTGCCACCTTACTGCTTACTGGACAGCCACTGTTAAATGAATCCTTTTTTCCATATGTGAAATGTTATAAATGGTGGTTTCATTCCTGGGGACAAATTTCATCCCCCAATTTTATTTTAAAGGTATCTCACCAGGAAAAATATGGTTTAATACTGGGGAGAGGGGTCATAATTCATGTGGCAGTATGTCAGGGTCACCTGTACTTAGAATTTTGTTTTGTTTTACTATTCTGTAAGTTTATGAAGTAGAACTTTATTGTTCTATAAGTTTTAAGACTTAGAATATTTGGGTGATGACTCTTGTATACAGTTGTATGATGTAATAAATGTGCATGACAAAGTAATATTTGGTAGTAGTCCTAGTTGACATTTATGTTATATATATAGTTCATATTGATGCTTTTGACTTAATTTTTTTTTTGTAAACACGTGCTTTAAATGTTGCTTATTTTTCAGTGTTTCTGGGCAGTAGGTGCATGTGCAGAAGTCATCTTGGCTCTGTGGGTGATGCCAACCATGGGCTGGACGGGACTGCTGGCTCTTTCCATCATCCCACTTGTTCTCTTTGCACTTGTCTGCCAGGTGAGTTATACTTCAGGTGAGACAAACTCTTCTTCTTATACAATATACAGTGGAACCTTGGCTTACGAGTTTAATCTGTTCCAGGAGCTAGCTCGTAACTCAATTTATTTGTATGTCAAATTAATTTTCCTCATTTAATTTAATTGAAAAGCCATTAATCGGTTCCTGCACTCTGGAGAGATGAGAAAAACTACTTGAATGTGATGCTATTATCAACTGTATGGCTTATTTATTACAATTCATCTAATATGACATAATAAACAATATAATTAGCACAGAAACATGATATATACTCTAGAATGAATAAAATAGGCCATAATATGGTGGCAGAGGCAGCGGCAGAAGTGTCCGCCATTTCTGTCCCAATTTGACCATAGTATCTTCCCATGTTCTTACTGTAAGAGCAAACAGAGTATTTTTGAGGCTAACCACAGTACATCACTAGTTTTCTAAGGAAAACACTGAAACAGTGCATTTATATATAAGAAATATCGTACAAAAACTGTTTATATAAAGTGTGGGTGGGGGATGTTGATGGAAATTCTCGTCCTTTTCTTCTCAGCACTGTCCTTTGCACTTATTTTCTTAGAACCTGTTGTTGTCCCATATTACTTTGATAGTAAGGTTCTCACTACATGTTCCAGTGTGGGGTAGCTTTTTACATGAAGGCCTTATCAGTCTAGAGTAATACTTACATTCATGATTGATCATCCTCAGTGCCAGCCCTCTTCACAGGTTATTTAAACTACTTCTATGAAAAATAGAACTGTATTCTAAATAGATTTTTTTTTCAACAAATCGGCCGTCTCCCACCGAGGCAGGGTGGCCCAAAAAGAAAAACAAAAGTTTCTCTTTTTAATTTTAGTAATGTGTATAGGAGAAGGGGTTACTAGCCCCTTGCCCCCAGCTTAGGGAGGAAGAATTCTGTTCCACTTCCCCATGGAGATAAGAGGAAATAAACAAGAACAAGAATTAGAAAGAAAATAGCAGAAAGCCCAGAGGGGTGTGCATATATATATGCTTGTAAATGGATTTGTCAATTAAAAATAGGAGAGGAGAGTTATTAAATGGAGAGTTAGAGGTATTGGGAAGATGGAAGGAATATTTTGAGGAATTGTTAAATGTTGATGAAGATGGGGAAGCTGTGATTTCGTGTATAGGGCAAGGAGGAATAACATCTTGTAGGAGTGAGGAAAAGCCAGTTGTGAGTGTGGGGGAAGTTCGTGAGGCAGTAGGTAAAATGAAAGGGGGTAAAGCAGCCAGGATTGATGGGATAAAGATAGAAATGTTAAAAGCAGGTGGGGATATAGTTTTGGAATGGTTGGTGCAGTTATTTAATAAATGTATGGAAGAGGGTAAGGTACCTAGGGATTGACAGATAGCATGCATAGTTCCTTTGTATAAAGGCAAAGGGGACAAAAGAGAGTGCAAAAAATTATAGGGGATAAGTCTGTTGAGTATACCTGGTAAAGTGTATGGTAGAGTTATTATTGAAAGAATTAAGAATAAGACAGAGAATAGATATAGCAGATGAACAAGGAGGCTTTAGGAAAGGTAGGGGGTGTGTGGACCAGGTGTTTTACAGTGAAACATATAATGAACAGTATTAGATAAGGCTAAAGAGTTTTTGTGGCATTTATGGATTTGGAAAAGGCATATGACAGGGTGGATAGGGGGGCAATGTGGCAGATGTTGCAGGTGTATGGTGTAGGAGGTAGGTTACTGAAAGCAGCGAAGAGTTTTTACGAGGATAGTGAGGCTCAAGTTAGAGTATGTAGGAAAGAGGGAGATTATTTCCCAGTAAAAGTAGGCCTTAGACAAGGATGTGTGATGTCACCGTGGTTGTTTAATATATTTATAGATGGGATTGTAAGAGAAGTAAATGCGAGGGTCTTGGCAAGAGGCGTGGAGGTAAAAGATAAAGAATCACACATAAAGTAGGAGTTGTCACAGTTGCTCTTTGCTGATTAAACTGTGCTCTTGGGAGATTCTGAAGAGAAGTTGCAGAGGTTGGTGGATGAATTTGGTAGGGTATGCAAAAGAAGAAAATTAAAAGTGAATACAAAAAGGAGTAAGGTTATGAGGATAAACAAAAAGATTAGGTGATGAAAGATTGGATATCAGATTGGGAAGGGAGAAAGTATGGAGGAGGTGAATGTATTCAGATATTTGGGAGTGGACGTTTCAGCGGATGGGTCTATGAAAGATGAGGTGAATTCATAGAATTGATGAGGGAAAAGGGTGAGCTTTTGCACTTAGGAGTCTGTGGGACAAAGAACTATGTCCTTGGAGGCAAAGAGGGGAATGAAATGAGAGTATAGTTTTACCAATGCCTTATATGGGTGTGAAGCATGGGTGATGAATGTTGCAGCAAGGAGAAGGCTGGGGGCAGTGGAGATATCATGTCGAGGGCAAGTGGGGTTGTGAATATAATGCAGAGAATTCATAGTTTGGAAGTTAGGGGGAGGTGCGGGATTCCCAAAAAACTGTTGTCCAGAGGGCTGGAAGGGTTGTTGAGGTGGTTGGGGACATGTAGTGAGAATGGAGTGAAACAGAATGACTTCAAGAGTTATCAGTCTGTAGTGAAGGAAGGGGCGGGGTAGGGGTCGGCCTAGGAAAGGGTTTGGGAGGGAGGGGGTAAAGGAGGTTTTGTGTGCGAGGGGCTTGGACTTCCAGCAGGCATGCGGGGAGCGTGTTTGATAGGAGTGATTGGAGACAAATGGTTTTTAATACTTGACGTGCTGTTGGAGTGTGAGCAAAGTAACATTTATGAAGGGATTCAGGGAAACTGGCAAGCCAGACTTGAGTCCTGGAGATGGGAAGTACAGTGCCTGCACTCTGAAGGAGGGGTGTTAATGTTGCAGTTTAAAAACTGTAGTGTAAAGCACCCTTCTGGCAAGACAGTGATGGAGTGAATGATGGTGAAAGTTTTTCTTTTCCAGGCCACCCTTCCTTGGTGGGAATCGGCCAGTGTGTTAATAACAAAAATGTATGTGTAGTGTGACCTAAGTGTAAGTAGAAGTAGCAAGACGTACCTGAAATCTTGCATGTTTATGAGACAGAAAAAAGGACACCAGCAATCCTACCATCATATAAAACAAGTACAGGCTTTCGTTTTACAATCACTTGGCAGGACGGTAGTACCTCCCTGGCTGGTTGCTGTCTACCAGCCTACTACCTAGAATTCTAAATAGATATGTACAGAATATACAATTACAGCACTCACATATTCAAAACAAGCCTGCACACCCCTTAGCTGCTCTTTTAGGAAAGCCCACATGGCATCTGAACAATTTGCCCTTCTTTCTTCTTGACTAATCTCTGGACTAACCAGTGTTTTGACACATTTTAGTCACCCTGGGTATGGTGGCTGCAACTTAAGGTATAAAACTCACCCGTAGGGCTCACATAATACCCAAAAATAAAAAGGACCCAGAGGTCCTTCCAGCTTTAAGCCAACAAGAAGAGTGAGAGAGGAGGGGCCTAGCTAAGCTCCTCCCACACCCACCAAAATAACAAAAGACTGTTGCCAAGCACAATTCTCTAGTTACCACAACGCTACCACACCTTATTTTACTTTTACAAAAGAAATACAACTTTATAAACTACTTATTTAAATTGTGTGTTTGTCTCTATAGTATAACCTATTATAATGAGAAAACAGGCTTGACTCAGCTGCCTTATAGCCATAAGGGTGATCTGCCCTTCTGACATTTAAGCAGTCGTGCCCCCATTAGTTCAATATAATTAGGTATTCAAGAGTAACTGTTACTTATATACATCAATATGTGTTGGGTCCCATAGTCCCATAGGACCACCTTCGCCTTAACATACGTAGTGATGACCTAAAGGATTGCAAACTGATGGGCTACCAAGCAGGTAAAAAAAACAGTGCTGTTAAAATTCCAAACTAGCCTACAAAGAAACAACTACTAAAAACATCTATTTCTATGAAAACTGATGTTTACGTCAATGAGTGCCTTACCAAAACAAGACAAAACCTTCTTTATCGGCTAAGAAAATTACGCTATGCCCAAAAAATCCACCAGTGCTTTGTGAGGGATGGAAAAATCGCAGTTAGGAAACAGCCCACTGGGAAGAGATACTTCATCTCTACAGAACATGACCTTAAAACATTCCTAAGTGAGGCTGGACAAACAGAATCAGAGTAAAGTGCAGATAATACCCACAGTCCACCGTTAGTGTTATATTGTCATAAATTTGTGCCCCCCCTAAAATTCTAATACCCCAACTACTATTGATTGTCATTGTTGTATTCAACGACCATTCTACCTCATAGTCTTAATTGTGTTTAATATCTACAGAATCTATCTCCTTTATTACAACTTACCACATCACTGTTCCATCTTATTTTATTATAAACTAACCATAACTTGTCCTGAATAATTCTACCTCACTTTAAGAAATACTCAATTGCCTAATTTTATTCTAAAATCCCTATTATTGCCCAATTTTGCTTTAAACTATATTGATCAAACTTATTGTAAACTTCTTTTATTGACCATTTTTATTCTATACTTTTTTAAACTAGTATTTTCAACTACAACTTTTATATTATCTGTCTACCATCTTACGAGCATATTATAACCAAGTCATTGCCATTTTATTTTTATCATTTTTTTTATTATTTCTTTTGCTACCTTAACTTGTGTATTTTATCTTGTCAATTTAAATCTAGTTATACTCTAATTCTTGTAAACAACTTATATAAAACCTTAGTGCAATTACAATTGAGAGTCTTGTGCCATTTTTATATTATTAGATTGAACTCAGTTGTACTATAGCTAATTGTAGCTCAATACATAGTCAATACCAAATTCATTATATTAGACCATAGTGCAGTTACTAGTGAGAGACTGGTGCTATTTTTAATTTGTATTTTTATATTATTAGATTGAACCTAGTTGTACTATAGCTCATTCTAGCTCAAAACATAGACTCCACAAAAGTCATTATATTAGACCTTAGTGCAATTGCAA